TATTCTATGCCGTTTTCTCACCAGGTAATTTCTTGTTCTCTTTATTAAAAGAAACAATAATAGAAACAGCATATTATTATTATTTTTATACATATTATGACGTTAAAGATATCTAGTTTACTTGTATATTGTTTCGGTATATTTTTATTTTACTGACATCATCGATTCTAGGAGCAAATGAAAGTTCTAATAATTAATACCACAGATGAATAGAATAAATATGTTATACAAAACAACTTGTTCGCAGCACACAATTCTGATCCCCCCACTCCTACAACCACCATAACATATTGTCATACTCTAAAATCTTTCAATCTTTTTCTATGAAATCTTGCTGTATATATTCACTACTTTCGAACAAACAAGTTGCGAAAAAAAACTAAAGACACTAAAGATTCAAAACCACTTCAAGTATCGCTGGTTTCTCTATACGAACTACAGAAAATCAAACCGTGATGTCTTTAACCTTCTAATCATACACAGCCTTTTGTTTTCTGTTTCATTTTAAGAAAAAGACGTCAAAATAGATCATTTTTCATACACTACTTAGACATATCTCATAAATTGGACACATTTATTTTCTTCACCAAAACATTTATCATTTTAGAGCTTTCGTAATAAAGATTTCAACTTTTACTTATGTCACTGATGTTCACCTCGTTTTTCTGCTTGCTTAAAATATTCATATTCCATTGGCCAAAAATAATCTTTAAGAAGAACGAGCCTGACTCAGTTTTTTCAACCTACGCTGCGAAAGTTCATATAAAAAATCTTTTCGTTCGAGAAATCTGCTATATTAATTCCAAGATCAACAGGCTCTTCGTTCTCGAGATAAAGGATGAGCAAAATTCGTTGCTATAACTAATGACATAGAAAATAACGGTGTGTTTGCCAAGGATATCTGGCTCACCGACATTTTTGTCTACTTTAAAACTTAACGTCGCCGAGTGCTTACTAAAAATTCAATGGCACCTGTTAAGCAAAGAATTATATGAAAATTTTACGAAATTTAATCGAACATTTATGTTAACAAACTTATTAGGTAGGACGACACAGAAAATAAAGAAAGGGTGTTAGACGAAAACTGGCAGGCTAGAGTCACGTAGAACGAAACTTTCTTTCGGCTACAGGCGTGATCATTATTACTCAATGGCGATTGAATCTAACTACGCTAAACAATGCCGAAAAGTGACGAAGCAGATAAGAATTTTTAAAGGGCAATGGGGTCAAAAGAAAGTTCACAGTGTGGAATATTAAAGTCACGCACGACTCGATTCGATCCAGGGTCAGGAAGGGTTGCGGATCCCTACGAGATTTGAATAGTAATACTTGTATCCAAAGTTTCAACATGTTGGTTATCTTTGACATGTATTTCTCGTAGAAAGAGGCTGCTGTGATATAGGTCTAATTCACACGACATACACCTTACGAGCTGAGCAAGGTAAGCGGTAGGTAAAATAACTTTCACAGCCAAATGCTGAACAAAAGAAAATACTGGAAATATAGAAAAATCTATCGATTAATCTATTGGACTATTGTATATAACAGAATGCAACAATATCCGAAACTTATGGTTCTCCACGGGTAGCATTAACTACAGATCAACTAGTTCTTGTTTCCTTCGTTCCTTTATATAACATATTTATGTCTGAATCTTCCTCAAAAAATTTCTTGTAGAATGCCGAAAGAAAACAGGCAATAGAAAACCTCCTCCTTCAAAGATCGGAATCGTGCAAGCACCGCCTAACAAAAATAATCTGCTGCTGTCACTCTTTTATGTAACAAGGTCAGACTATCATATGAAAATATATATTAATAATTATTATAAAAAAGAAAAACAGCTTGTTTTTAACTGTAAAAAGGAAAAAAAGAAATCTGTATGTTTTTCTCGCGATCTCTAATACTTTTTAATGATATTAGATATAGAAGGAATCAACGTGGATGACGATAATTGATAGATTCTTTAATATTTACAGATGTTGTCATACAATACAAAATGAGAAATATAAAACTAGAAAATATGTACTTAAAAACATTATAAATTAATTGACCGAATTTAATCCATATAAAAAAATTAGCGTTGTATGTTTATGTCTGTCTATCTGGCACGCTTTCGTTCTCTCTATCTCACTATTTAATAGCAGGACTTTTGAAAATATAGAATTTTGGAAAATTTAACAGCTATAATTAATTTAATTAATTGTAAAATATGAATATAAAATATACGTTTCAAATCTACGGATTCATCACTATCGTATGAGCTACAGTAATGATATAAAATTAGTATGATTTCCAGTTGAAAATGTTAATATTTTTCTCATAATATTCATTTAACTGTTTACCGATGTGTTTTGTATAGCCGTTTTGTATCGATTGTGTTTCAGTTAGCTGTTTGTGCTATCATATTGCATATGGAGGCGAATTCCTTATTTAATAAATAAAAGTTGGAGCAAATCTGAATAATTCTATGAACTAATGAACCAAATGCTACTTTTTTATATGCTTTCGGAACGGTATTATCTGATTTTATCATGAGACTGGTAGCTGTCTTTTACGAAAATACACTTGTCGTAAAACCGACATCACTTCTTTTTATTAAGGCGGGTAGAAACGGTTTTATTGTCTTGTTCGGCAGTTTACTTAATACATTTCGAATAAAATTTTCATTTAAATAAAACGGCAAATACAGCAAAACGTTTGTTTTCGGACAAAGATCGATTGAGTAAAGAACAATTATTCTAACGTTGTAAGATAAAATTATTTGTAACGATTGGTTAGGTAAATATACCGAGAAAAGTGTTCGACAAGCAAGTCGTAGAACTACTGAACATGAGATCAATAAAGCGAGGTAATAAAACGACTATTCATTTAACCAACGGTTCACATAATAGCTCATCAAAAGAGAAAAATGGTCAAATAATAAAAATGCCTGATACAACAGATTCATGATATACACTCTAAAAAAATGTCGTAGATTAATAAACTACAATAAAAGAGTTTTTTGGACTAAAAAACTGATAAAAAAACCTAAAAGAGTTTTTTAACGGGTTTTCTAGGCCAAAAAACTAAAAAGCGGTCGTTTCAAAATGTAAAACTCACGGTTTTTGGGAGCGTTTTTTGAGTCTAAAAAGAGTTTTTTCAAAATGATCAAAAAGCTCTGTGGTTTTTTGGTCATTTTGAAAAACCGAGGAAAAAACTAACAGGGCTTTTTAAAGAGGTTTTTAGACTCAAAAAACTCTCCCAAAAGCCGTGAGTTTTTCATTTTGAAATGACCACGGCTTTTTGGCCTAAAAGCCCGTTAAAAAACTCTTTTAGGTTTTTTATCAGTTTTTTAGTCCAAAAAACTCTTTTATTGCAGTTTATTAACGACTTTTTTTTAGAGTGATAGTGCTCGGTTGGCTAAATGAACAGCAATTAAAGTTGCTCTAGTTATTCTGTCAAGGAAGAGCCGGTCCAGAAATAATGGAGCAAATCTTTTTCTGTTTCTGAAGTGCTTAAAGCAATTCTAAGGTTTTGATCTGAACTCATTCGATAGAGGGTTCATTGGTCTACAAAATTGTCGATTTGGTTTTTTAAAAAGACTCTACTTCTCCCCGTGAAATTCTGAACTTTAAGACGTGCTTAATGTTTCAACTGCGACAGCCGAAAAAAGGAAAAAAATGATGAAAACGTAAGAGGAAAAGGCGACTTTTTTCTTTCTTAGAATCGGCGAGCATCGCTCTGCATCGGATGTTGAGTATCTCAAGCTTCGGAAAGCATTTCAAAGGCTCCGGAAAGCTCCCGAAGCCGCCTCTTCCCTCTTGTGAAAACAGCTTTAACAGCCCTACTGCTCGCTCCAACTCCAAATATGTTAAAAAATTCTCCGTAAAATTCTGCATTTTTTATATAGATTTCAAAATTTTAATAAAAACTTTTACAGGAAAAAGTCTGAAGGAAAAAATATACAAAAACATCGAAACATTCGCTTTTCTTCACAAACTATGCCCTTATTCTTCTTTAATATAAAATACATTAAAAGTTTCTGAAATTCTTGTTAAAAGCACTTTGTTCAAACTTTAATTCTGATTTTTCGATGACATAAAAATAAAAACTTCAGGATCACGTCGCATTTAATTTCGAAGCCTGTCCAAAAATACTACCTGAGATTCTTAGCCTTTATCTCCTGTACTACAACATTCGAAATCTTTAAAATGGCATAGAACGACAGAGTACAGAATTCTGTATTTTTTGGTGTTAGATACTTTGCTCATAAGACGGAAATTAATGAGATTAATTTTCAGAAGTTGAAAAAAAAATCTACAGAAAACTGAAGATCGTAGTTGAAACATTGATCACGTCTTAGAGTTCAGGATTTTACGGGGAGAAGAAGTATCTTTTTAAAAAAACTAAATCGACAGTTTTGTAGACGAATGAATTCTCTATCGAATGAGTTCAGATCAAAATCTTAGAACTGCTTTTATTAAGTGCTTTAAAAACAGATAAAGAATTTGCCCCATTATTTATAGGCCACCCGGTACATAGAACAGAAAAGGAGAATAGTTTTTTTTTGTATACATACACTTGAAAAAGAGAAACAGTTCTTTCTTATTTTCGCTTTCTCATTAATACTGTAGTTTATACGATACTGACGATAAATTGGTAGATTCGAAACATTTATTTTATATTTATATTTTATGATTAAATAAACTAATCAACCGTATCTGCTAAATTATAAAAGATTTTCTCTCTCTCTTTCTCATAGAAGCACAAACAGATTTTTAACATCATTATTATAACAGTTACTAATGTTGTACATTAGATAGTAACTGCTTTCTCGAGATACAGTCATTAAAACTTAGCATAAAAATTTGCAACGGCAATTTTTAAGATTCTAACTGTGTGAAGACTCGTTTTCTCCCAAATATAATAAAAGATAATCGGACGTTAGGCATATCAGGAAAAAAAAATGTCCACATTCATAAAAATAGAAATGTTGTATTTCAAAAAGTCTTTCGATAATATTAGGGTGAAATGGAATTATTCTGTAAATTTTGGAGTAATTCAGCAAATTCATCTTTTGATAACTTGCCATCTTGATTTCTATCGGCTAATTTTACCATTGCTTTTGCTTCTTCCAAGGTTAAATTTTCTCCCAACTGTTGCATTGTCTGACATACTTCTTCTGCACTTATGTAATTATCACGATTTTTATCGAATGCTTGAAATGTTTCATCAAGATATGCCGTTTTATCATTTTTTCTTTTTGTTTGTTTTGTTTGATACGATAACATTAATGTCTGAAAATCATCAAATGATATACGACATTCATTTTTTTTACTACTAATTCGTTCAACAATTGTTCTTAATTCATCATCATTTATTGGTATACATAAGCGGTGCCAAGCATTTCGTAACTACAAAATTAAAGCACAGTTGAAGTACAAATGAGTAAGAAATCGAGTGACTAAAAGCATTTGACCTCATCGAAACTAATGAAACCATCATCGTTTGAATCAAATAGACGAAATGTCTCTAATAACTGTGTCATGGCTTTATTAGTCGTGCTAAATACAATGGATTGATTTTATTTGTCTAGTATATAAACTAAAAGAGTAAAAATGGTATATAAAGAAATAAATATCACCCATATACGTATAAATAATTCATTTCTCTTTAGGATGAGAATTTCTATAAACTTCAAACAGTTACTGATCATATTTAGAAATATTCATTGCTCAAATCCTGCGATAGGATGCATTAAAAAATCACATTTAAAAAACGAAAAAATATTTTATAACTTTCACTTGCCTGTCTGTGTTTTTGTTTAATACCATATGAGATCTCAAAAATATTTACTTTTACCGGTATGATATAAATGAATATATATATATTATTATTATTATTATTATTATTAAGACATACTTGAAATAGACGGGGTTAACTTTTTTGTTTCTTTATTTTATATGTTATATACGTCAGTATGAAGAAAATGAATAGATTAAAATTTTGTTCTCGTTTATTTACAGATATTCACTATACAAATTGAGAAGGTTTTATTACGTCAAACAAACACTTTTATTTTAAAGTGGTATAATAGAACACAAATTTTGATGACAAACCAAATAAAAATAAGAAAAAAATGACAAAAGGAAACCATGTGTACCAAGAATTAGAATGAAAATGAAAAAATATACGAGGTATAAAATAATTTCTGATAATTAAACTGTTTTTATTCAGCAACTTAGAGGTAAACTGATCCTTCGTTTTCCGTTCTGAGAAGACTGAGCAGTCAGAGATGATCTTTAGATTTTCGTCAATTCGCTTACTTCAGCCTTAAAATTATATATTCACTATTAATTCTATTAAATTCAACTTTATAGAGACTAAAAGGAAGTGGATAACTAAAACTGAATTAATATCTACATCATCGTGCCTTCGTGCTGTCATTCAACAGTACATCCTCGTGAAATGCGGAGAGTAGTTGACGTAAAGATACCCGCTGGAGGAGAGTGCACGATAAAAAGAATGCGCTCTTGTAGATGGCATATTTTTTTGCGATGAATCGGGTACAAATATTGGACACATTACACAGCATATCCAATGTGCCGCCTACGAGAACCCATTGGATGTGCTCTGTACGTTAGAATCGAGCGGGACAGTCCCGAATCTCTACACTTAGACTACTTTTTATTTCTTCTACTGTTCTGATCCCAGTCAATTAAACTTTTTATTTCGCCTAGAGAAACGATTCGGTTAAAAATTTATTTATTTCTTCTGCAGATTGCCTAAATCTCTTATGTGTTATTCTTTATTGAAAACAAAAAGTTATACATCATTGAATGCACTGTATATGTCAACAAACGTCTGAGTAGTTCAGCCTTTTACTAAAGTTAATTCCGCCTAGTTTTGGTCTACCTGTACTTTTTCTATTTCAAATTATGACTGAAATTCTGCAGAAGAAAGAAAGAAATTTTTAACCAGAATCGTGTCTGTAGGAGAAATAAAAAATTTAATTGATCGGAATCAAAACTGTAGAACAAATTTTCAAATGATATTTTCTTGATTAATATTTTATGAGTTTTCTTTTGAGATGAGTTCTGAAGTTTGTGGGAAAAGTCGTTAGGGCCCCCCTGGGTCAGAAACCTATCTCAGCCCAGGGAGGTCTGATCTGAACCAAACTTTCAGAGAATGTTGACCATATCAACGTGTGGTAATGAAATTTTTTCTGGCGCCAAAAACAAGTATTCGTGAGCGGGTACTACAACAAGGGCCAAAAATAGGCATCTACCACGCACAAGAATTCTCATTCCAGATAAATGATGGAGAGAGCTCGGGCTGTTTTTGTTTTGCAGTAAGCACCTGTGCCTAGAAGTTGACAGAACCCGATTTTTGAATTTCTCATTTGCTGATTTCTGGTGCTTAACAGAACTTTAAAGTCCGAAAAGTCCTTAGAAAGTTTCTTAGAGATCCGCATTTCTATAAAAAATAGAAGCATAATTTAAAAATCGGGCTCTCTCAACTCCTAGCTATAGGTGCTATCTACAAATCAAAAAAAATTCTCTCTGATGTATCGTTATCGAGAATTCCTGTGCGTGGCGAAAGCCCTGAAGCTAAAAAACAGCCTTGAGAAAAACACAAAATAAGTTATGATTCTGTTAAATGCGTTTTACTTAAAAACTGTTTAGGAGCTAAATAATTTGTTGATACTTTGCTATACGTTATCAATCATGGTGGATCTAATGAACATGTGCGGCACGTACGCGCGCTTATGCAATAAAAGTGCAAAAAAGCCTTTTTGTGCAACTGGGGTTCTGAAAAACTCGCTCAAAACCTATGAAAAACCTATCCTATCGACACAAAAATTATGCCATTAGAAAGTAGACACTTTGGGCTATAGAAGTTCTCAAAATCGATATTTTTGATGAAAATCGGCATTTCTGATCCAGGGGGGTCTTAATGCAGTGGTCGAGATCTGAAGGAAGCCAGAAGCAATAACTTAATTTGTTTGATTATTCATATTTTCAGGTGAAAGACGTCTTTGTTCAGCATATTTCAGCGCTTTCACATATATCAGCGGATCAAACGATACTTGAAAGGATTGAGAATATGATTTCAATATCATCCATCATCCTAACCATGATAGTGCTGTGCAAGAAGATTAACAATTGCGTATTGCTATCTTTCGTTTAGTTATTCAATACAGTTCTATGTACAACAAATGGAATGTCAAAAATGATCTAACTGATATTTATAACAAAAGTTACAAGGAGGAGTTGACTGAACAAAAAGCTATTAACCACTTTGATCATAGATATAAACTAGAAACAGCAATTTGGTGGTATACACGAGAGTCATGTCACTATCGTCTTCTTAATAAAGCATTGCGTGTTCAGGATTTTGATATGACTTTTACGTATCTTCATCATGGATATATGGTGTTGATTCTCAACATCGTACTAAGTTTTGAACGTTCGACTATCAATCACATTGACAACGCCACAGCATAGAAAGGTTCAGACGTAGTACATTTGTACAAAGGTGAGATGGATGACAGTTAAGTATAGTCTAGCTCTGACCTAAATACCTCCCTATAATTCGCACCAACAAGGCCCTTTTGTACGAAAGTAGGGTATACCAAAAACATTATGTCATTTAAACCGGTTAGCTGCTAGTCAGAAGAAATATTAATTTCACAAAACATTATGGGCTTACGTAACAGTTGACTTTTACGTGGACAAGCCTGATTTTTTTCGTTCTTTGGAATGATTTTGGTTTTCCTATCAATATTTCGTATAAGAACAAGCGTCATTTCGTTCCACTCCAGAAATATAGCAAAGGCGTGATGTCATATTTCTATAGATCAAGCATGTATGACCAAATTCGCACTTTTCGTGACAAGCTTCGAAGATGGTCATCTATAGTTTATATGTAGATGATATGACTCAGATGTTTCTAATATATATTTCAGGTGTAGAATTTGAATTCAACAATAGAAACGTATCATCAACGTATATTATAAATAATATTTGGCTCGTTGACTTTCTAACTTAGAATATAGGAATTCTTCAAGATGAACCATGAAAATATTAGCAAGTATAGGAGCACTCAAGTGTAAAACTCATCGCTACACCATTTGTTTACTGGTACAATTGTCCATCAAATCGGTGTGCACCAGATGTAGTCACAACTATGTAAAAAACCGTATGTATAAAAAATCGTCTATCTTCGTCGCAACAAAGTGTACGGTACATTGGCTCATGTATATGACTTTTATAGTGCTTCCTAGTATAACATTTGGTTAAAATATGCGGCCTGGCTCTGTGTCATTATAGATAAAATCGAAGGAAGCACTATAAAAGTCATATACATGAGCCAA